CTCTTAGGTCCAGTTTCTTCTCCAAGCCTGATTTCCAGGCCAACAGCATCGACATTATTTAGAAATGCTAAGTTCCAGCACCCATCTCAAGCTATCAAATCAGAAACTCTAGGGAGGGGGCCCAGAAGTCTGCTTTAACAAGCCCTGTATCCATTCTGGTGCATGCTGACGTTTGAGAAACTGACCTGTGGGAGGAGTAAGGGCTTTCAAACCAGCAAGGGTGGGGTTAAGCCTCAGCTGTTCCCTTTGCCAGTTTGTGGCCTGAGTAAGTTGTCAGACCCTTCCTGCGTTTCCAAGCTCTCACCAATAAAGGGAGGATGATAGGGGTCATCCCCCTTTCCTCAAGGGGCTGTTGTGAGATACAGATGACATGAGGAGGATCCTGGTTCTGCCACTTTCTAACTGTGAATCATTTGCCAACTCACTTTGCCTCTCTCTGCCTCTGTTTTCTCATTTAAAAAAGAATGGGAGTGTGCCTCAGTGGTGGAGTGTCTGCCTAGGAAGCCATGAGACCCTGAGTTCAAACCCAAGTACCTGTTTGCACTGCTTCCTGTGTGCCAGTCACTGTCTTGAACAGTGAATGTTTTTGTTTTATTATTTTTTGTTTTTTAGAATAACCGTGTTGTGTAATCTCCATTTTATAAATGAGAGAAACCAATGCAGAGAGAGGCTAACTAATGTTTCCAAAGTTGTACAGCTAGTACCCTGGGATTCAAACCTAGTGGCCAGCCGTGAACACCCTTGCACTAAAGGCAACAAATGATCAATAAACATATGTCAATGGTAATAAGAAAACTGGCTGGGAAATAGTAGGTACTTCATAGGTGAGTTTCCGTCCCCTGGCCTGGTACCTTGGCATCATGGGAATTTATTCAGTTTTTCTTGTAGCCATACTGCCCAGTTCTGTGGTTAGCCCCCTAAATCATCCACCTCCACATACTGTCCCTTCCCCTCACTCCCTCATCAGCCATTTTTCTCTCTTTATCTCACCTCTTTTATGGCCATCTAGGTGCTCTGAACAAACCAAACAGGCATTGCTAGATGGAGGAAGACCCCCTGTGGTGATGCAGGGGAAACTGCCTTCCTTCACCCTACCTTAGCACGTCTGGGGAACGCATGACTAAACTAGAAGAGGCTCCAGTTAAGTCACTGAAAGATGAGTGGGTTTGCCTCATTTGGGACATATCTTCTGATATCTTTGCTTATTTATTCAGTAATCAAGAAATAAAAGTACCTCCAAAGTTCCAAAGGAATAGAAAAACTTTCTTTTCTTCCAGAGTAAAATTTGCACCTTGCAAGTTTAACCCCCCAATATTACAGCAGTGGGTTTTTCTTCTTTTTCTTTTTTGTTTTGCTAGGCCAATAAAATGCCTTATTCTCTTTCAATTCAGGGTCTTATTCATTGTTCTTGAAAATTCTCTTCGGTTTTGCTTTCAAGATGGCCTCGATTACTAGGCATGACTCACCAGTCTAGTGACTCAGAAGTGGCAGCTAACAAGACAAGGACTGTGCAGAGCTGTGGATGGACTTCACTGCCAGTGGAGCCTGCCTGAAGCTTTTCCTTAACCCAGTTTCTGAAAGAGATAATCATGCCCATTAATGACTGTTTATAATGGTCCTTGGCACCTGTTTATTTGAAGCTTCAGATCTGCCTTCTGGAAAACTCCAAGGTTTGAGCCCATCCTTGTCTATCAACGAGGTGTGCCTTGAAGTTTTCTGACTGGCAGGACAAGACTTCTGAGGATTCACTTGACCCTGCTTGGAATGGCCAAAGAATCGGGGAAACTAAGGCTTCAAGTGACTGTTGTGTCAGGAGAGAAAGTAAAGCCTTTTTTATTTGATGAGACCTTTAAATGTCTTTCAACTTGATCTAAAACAAAAGACCAAGTAGCCAGGTGTGGTAGTACATGCCTATAGTCTTAGTACTTGGGAGGCTGAGGTGAGAGGATTGTTTGAGTCTAAGAGATCGACATAAACCTGGGTAAAAAAAACCATGACTCTGTGTTTCCCCCCCCAAAATCAATTAAGAATGATTAAAGAGATCGACACGTGTTCCAAACATACCAAAATATATATGGATAGGGAACTCACAGTACAAGTCTTTCAATCTTTTTATGTGCTTGAAGCTTGGGTAAATGTTGGGTAAAATGTAGATACTCCTAGAAATGACCACTCTTTCAAAAAATAGTTTTTTCCTTTGAAATATAAGTGGCACCCCTCCTTCCCTTCTCCCACTTCCTTATTAGTCCAGACTTAGTCACCCATCCTTCCTCCCAGCTCCTCCAAATGGGGGGCAGCTTGCTTGATTAAAAAGGACCTTGAATGAGGCCAGTCAAGAGCTACTCTTTATGCCAAGGGTTTTACATTCTTCCTGATATGTAAGTCCCACAATAACTCTACAAACTAGTTATTATTTTCCATATTTTATGAGGAATCTGAGGTTCAGAGGGCTAAACTTGACCCAGGTCATGGGTAACGATATTAATCTTACAGCATTTACAGAGTTCTTACTTTGTGTGTCAGGCTCTGGGTTGTACACTTCCAGTGTTTGAACTCATTTGAGCCTTACCCTCCCAACAGTAGGAGGTAGGTATATTACTATCTGCATCTTAAAGATTGAAAATGGAAACATAGGGAAGTGTGAGAACTTGTCCCCAGTTACTCTAGGGGGCCAGTAAATGGCAAAATGCAGATTTGAATCCAGTCCCTTCATACTTCTACTTCAGAGTCCCTGTCATACTAATTAAGGCTTGGCATCCCTTTGCCTAACTTAGAAAGTCAGCATACAGTGTGAAAACCTCTTGACTAGAGATCACAAGCCTCTGAGGACAGAGAATGTTTTGTTCAGCACTGCACCAGTACTTGGCACAGTACTTACTTAAGGAAGACTACATGAATCCCTCACCCTCTCAGCCCCCCCTAAAGTGCTCCTCCTGGGTCCCTTTTTGACTGTCCTGGACTTAGTCCTTGGAGGTAGAGGTGTTCATTTCTTTGATGTGATGGATGAGTGAGTAACCCATTTGTTGGCCTGTAAAGAGGTGAATTGAAGGCATATGTGTTATATCCATCACTGTAACAAAGCATCTGAGATAACTTACAAATAGAAAAGGTTTATTTTGGCTCACAGTTTTGGAGTTTCCAGTCCATGATTGGTTTGGCCCATTGTCTTGGACCAGGAACATGTGGCAGAGCAACTACCATTCATCTCATGGTCAGGAAGCAAAGAGAAAGAGGAAGGGGCTGGAGATCCACAGTACGCTTTTAGCCTGCCCCTAGTAACCTAAAGATCTCCCACTATGTCCCAACTCTTAAAGGTTCTACCACCTCCCAAATAGCACTATTTTGGGGACCAACCCTTTAACACATAAGCTTTTGGGAAATATTCAAGATCCAAACTATAGTAATCTGTTTTCCTCAATAGTCTTAAGTTTTCAAAGAAGAGCAGAGAGGTATTAGCCACTGCCAAATAAAATGGAAGCCAAATACAAATACTTCAAAATTTCCACATTTTCAGGGACTCTTCAAATTTTAGCAAGTAAAATCAACTCAGAGACCCCTAGTGGCCAGGAAAGCTTTCACTCTACAGCCATCTTTGACTCTTGGCTATAGTAATGAGCAGATGAACACTGGTAATTAGTCCTCTTAAATGTGCCCAAGCATTGGTAATTATACCTTACATTTATAGAGCGCTTAGCTTACAAAGTACTGAATCTATTCTCCCTTTTGATCTTCTCAACAGTCTGGTACATTTCCAGGGCATGTATGGTTAGCCCCATTTTACAGATGAGAATGGAGTCAGAGAAGTTAAGTCATCTGCCCAGCACCACTCAGTTCATAAATTGTAGAGAGAGGTCTTCAACCCTCTTTGCTTGACTACTACTTCAGGAAATTTTCCATGTCAGTATTGGATTTAATTCAGCAATTTGTGAGGACCAGAGTTGCAGGTAGATGTATTGCTTTTTTGTTGTGTTTCTCTCAGTTTATTTGGGTTCTGGATTGGGTCAATTAATCTTATTGGATATCAGTTTTCCAATCAGTATAATGGGGAACAAACACTAGCCATCAATGAGGGCCGGTAGAGTACAGGAGGTTGTGAGGGTTCAGAACTTAAAAAGCAATTTCTGAGTAAAGATGCTTGGAAGACTGTGATGACCCTGACCCATTTTCCATAAGTTAAATGTCACCTCACTTGGCCACCCTACCTAAAACGGCATCTCATTACCATGCTTCATTTTTCTTTCCAGCATTTCCTGCCCTTTTGATATGCCTATATTTGTTTATTGCCTATCTGGATTAACAGAATGTAAGAGCCTCAGGAGCAGGGACTTGGTCAGGTTTTTGTTCTCTGAAACCCTAACAGGTGGAACTGTACCTGGCACAAATAACCATTTGTTGGATAAATGATTGAAGAAAGAATGAGTCTGAGCTAGGTAATAACACAAAGTTACTTGAATTGAATGATGGCGATTTACTTGAAGCTTCCTCCTTCACCCCACAACAGAGGGATCTCCTGGTCTGGTTTCCTCTTACCTATTCCTGGCTGAGCCACTTGCTGTCTTACAACAAATTATTAAAGTCTCTGGAGTATCAATTCATACCTGGGTGAAATGGGCTCAGTGACCTGTGTCCATGCAGCAGACACGGGCCATTGTCTGCACAGAACGCCTTTGTATTTTAAGAGCTGGGTGTACTGGGGGCTGGTTCTGTACACTGTTGTACCCCCAGCATTTAGCACAATGCCTCATCCATAGAGAGGTAAAAGAAATATTTGTTAAATAAATGATCAAAGCAATGAATGACTATGCAAGATGCAACACAGCACAGGGTTCTTAATCCCCTCTAAAGTTGGGGTTACCATTTGAAAATAAGCCAGGCACATGGCACAGACAGAACCAAATCTCTCCAGAGGCAAGGAGGCTCTGTATAGATGGTTCCCTACTCCCAGGGAAGAAAGACAAGCCTAAGCTCCGAATCCTGTTCCATGCCATGTTTTGGAAGTTGTGTTTACGTCTGCCTTCATCTCCATCCTTTCGCTCTAGCATAAGCAAAATTATAACCCCCGCACACTGACAATTATCATAGCCTGGGCGCTCCTCTGTTGAGGGACTTCGCCCCCGAGACCGCTGACTGTCTGTGAATGACAAATCAAAAGTCAGGGTTGCAGAATCAGCTGGACTTCTCCTGGTCCTTTGCAGCAGAGGGAGAAAGCAGAGAATGAAAGATTCTGAAAATAAAGGTAAGGGGCTCACCGCAAAGGGGGAGGCTAGAAGATGCTAGGGGTGAGTTGTCATTCGTGGACATGTTTAGTTTGTATTAATGGCTGATTTAAAATTACTGTGCCCATATTATTAAAAATTCCACTTATATAATAAATGTCTCTTTTAAAGAAAGGACTGGCTTCTGGTTTCCAAATATTGTGTCATTCAGTTTTCCATTTTTGTCGTACTAAATATAGATGTATTTCTGTGTTCTTTATTTAATCTTGGGCTGAGTAACACATTTCCATCTCACAGGTTTGCTTATAATAGCTCCCAGGATTTTGATAATTTTATTTTGGGGCTGTTTACAATAGTTAATCATTAAAATGTAGCTTTCCGGTGTATTATTGGAATATCTAAAATACTTGGAACTTAAACAGTTTGGATTCTCAAGATAAACGTTGGCTGAGAATCCCTTAATGAACATTAATTTGAGTCGTCACTGACCTTCACAACTGTTTACCCCGCAGAAGGATATTCAGATGCACCCCTTCCACCCCCGCCAAAAGGAAAAAAACCACAAAAAACTAGTTATGTTGGAGGGATGAGCGAGGAAAAAATAAAACGGATTTGAATGAAAACTCGGAAAGAGAAAGGGCTCACTACAAATGAGCCAACCTCATCTTAAGTTCAACAACACGGATCTTGGAGGATTCTGGGGTTTTAAACTCCCAGTCTCCCTAAGATTTCTGCCGCAGTTGGGGGAGGAGCAACGTACCCTCGGGTCTCAGGAGGTCCCTGGTGGTCCTGGGTCCTGCTCCCGGGCTGGATCCCTTCCTCCGTTCCCTCTGCCTGGTGGTCCTCAGGGTCCGCGTGCCCGCGCAGAGCGCAGAGGGGCCGCGCGCCCCGGGGACAGCGCTCTGGCGGCTCCGGAGGGAGGCCGCCATCTCCAGCGCAACCCCTGCTTTCGGGGCTCTAATCTTAGGGTTCGTCAGCTTCCCCACACACAACGGGATTTCAGGGGTCTCGCCCAGGATCCGCTGCGCAGCAGCTTGCCCCCTACCCTCTCCCGGCGCGCTCTGCTTCAAGCAGGCCCCAGCTCTTTGCCCTTGGGCTCGGGGGTTTGAGGCGCAGGTCACACGCTGCTCCTTCGCCATCCGCGCGTCCAGCGCCGCTCCCCGCGTCGGGTCAGGCCGTCCCGGTGATCCGTGCGCAGCCACAGCCCGGCCTGCCTGCAGATCGGCGGCCGCTTTGGCCTTCGGGCCCCCGGGAGTCTGCCACAGTCTGGCTTGTTACAGGATTCCCATCTGATGGGCAGTGACATCCATCTATACCTGTATCTATATGTATATGATACGTCATCGATATGTAGCATCGATATGTACCTTTATATATATATATATATACCTTTATATATATATATATATAAAGGTGGGGGGGAGAATAACCTCAGCACAATCCGATTCCAAGGGGAGGGAGGCTGGCGTTTTTACCCATCAAACTGTAATGAGAGTTCTTAAGCAATCCCGATTTCTGTAACTGAGGCTTTAAAAGTGTTGGTAGCATTAACACCTCCCAGGCTCTGGCCATTCACATCCCTTTATTGATCTATGTGGTTTTAATGTTTAAATTTTAATTAAGCAGCCTTAGTGGTCCTGAGGTTTGAACTTAGGGCCTTGCTCTTGCTAAGCAGGTGCTCTACCACTTGAGTCATTCCACCAGCCCCAATACCTGTGTGTTTGTAATCAAAGTATTTAAAATCGATGTTGGCTTTGCCTGTGTTGTTTGTGGTGTCTGGAGAAAGGGTTAAGGGAAAGAAACAATTTGGCTTAGTTGCCAAGTCATGCTAGGCCATGGACGTGAAAAATTGAAGCTGCCTGAATGGGAGGCTCTGGCGGAGGTCAGCGTTCACCATTGCTTAGAACTGAACACTCCCCCTTTCTCAGTGTACATGCATGTTTTAAGCTTCAGATCTCCAGATCTTTTTTTGGGGGAGGTGGCAGTTAGAATTTTGGTTTCACTTTCTACTGGAAACAGCTTTGAGGTGGGACTCAGGAGAGCCAGGCTCTGACCTGGGGAAAGACCCTCGATTTTGGTGGCTCTCGGTTTCTCTAAAGGGCAGAGACGTTGAATTAGATTATTGTTTTTCAGATTGTGGGGGTGAGGAAGCAATTTTAGTGAGCCGTAAGCAACATTTTAGATAGGCAGCGTAAAACTGAAAATATCAGAAACCATTGTACACAGTACAGAATTTTTGGTTCTGGAAACATCCATTTTACACGTGTTTTGCATGCAGGTGTGAAGGCTGTATTCTTGTTTAGTAGTATGTATTAATTGCATAAAATAGTGGGCTGCATTATATCATTTTCATATATACATAATGAACTGACTATATATGTATAGTACTTGGAGCATATTCATCCCATTATCCTCCCTCTATCTCCCACTGATCCCCTTCCTCTTCCCAAATGGTCTCACTTTTCTTTCGTCTTTTTTTTTCTTTTTGTCTAGATTCCTCATATGAGAGAAAGCATGTGACATTTATCTTTCTGAGTCTGGCTCATTTTGCTTAACATAATGAGCTCCCGTGCCATCCATTTTTTTCTGCAAATGACATAATTTGGTTCTTTTTTTATGGCTGAATAATACTTCATTGTGCACATATACCACATTTTCTTTATCCTTTCATTCATTGATGGACACCTAGGCTGTTTCCATAGCTTAGCTATTGTGAGTAGTGCTGCAGTAAACAGGGTGTGCAGGTGCCTTTGTTGTAACCTGACTTACATGCCTTCAGACATATACCCAGAAGTGGTCCAGCTGCATGGTATTGGGGTTTGAACTCAGGTCTTGTGCTTGCTTGTGAGCAAGTCCTCTTCCACTTGACCCCTGCCCCTAGCCCTCCCTTTTTGCTTCAGTTTGGTTTTCATATAGGGTCTTGTGCTTTTGCCCTGGGCTGGCCAATGAACCAGATCCTCCTGCCTCTGTCTTCTGCATAGCTGGGATTACAGATGTGCACCATCATGCCCAGCCCTGTTTTTTAAAATTGTTTTGTGGAACCTCCATAATGCTTGTCATAGTGACTGTACTAATTTACTTTCCCACCAACAGTGTACAAGGTTTCCTTCCCTGCCCTCTTCATCCTGGCAAGCATTTGTTTTTTGTTTTCTTGGACAAATATTCTTACCGGGATGAGATAGAATCTCAGTGTAGTTCTGATTTGCATTTCCCTGATGGCTAAGAGTCTTGGCCAGTTTTTATGTATTGGCTATTTGCACTTCTTTGAGAACTGTCTGTTCAATTCATTTCTCTATTTATGAACTGGACTATTTGTTCTTTTGGTGTTTAATTTTTGAGTTCTTTATATATTTGGATATTAATTTTTTTCTCATTTTTGGTGGGCTTCTTTCCACCCTCGGGGTCTTTGCGGTTGCCTTCTGATTGGGTGGAGCTGCCTCGATGCCCTCAGGCTATCGATCCAGCCATCGGTCACACTTTTCTGAAAAAAGATCCAATAACTCACAGCAGTGAGAGCAATAGAAGACGAGAATGGAATTGGCAAATCAAATCAGTTAAAAGGCTTCTGCTGCAAAAGGCAAAAGAGAAACAATTACCGCAGTGAAAAGACAGCCTCACAAAATGAATAAAATAATGTCCAAATATAGGACCAAATTAACACAAAAGAACAATTAGCCAGTAAAATTAGAGAAAATGAATTGGAGACATAGTATCGATTTTTGCTTTGCCAGAAGACAATTAATAAGTTTCTAAGTAATGCCATTGCCCCCAATATCAGTCACTTCTTAATACTCACTTGGATGAGTTATTGGAACTTTCTCAAAACGAAAGGATTCGTTTACCTAGCACAGTAGTAACCTTGTAGTTAGCTGAAAGATGTTACAATACTGATAACTATATAGATCTATTATGACTATTGACTATTCCCTCTACACCTCAACGAACACGTGAGGAACACCAAGAAGAAAATCATAACTTACTAATTTGGTTTTCAAGTGACCCAAACGCGAGAAAGAAATGCAACGTATTCAATGATATGGCTCTTTAGCAGATGTTAAGATGGGCGGGAAGGGATCTCCTCTCGTAAACCCTCGCTTTCTCTCCTCTCGCCATCTATCTAAAATGAAGTTTTCCACTCAGTTTTATAATTAAAGCATCTCAAGGCTTCAAACGGTTTATCAATTAATGTGAACATATGCTCTGTTAAGGGTATGCCCGGAGTTCCTCCTTCCAAGCACAAGTGTATCATTTAAAAAGACGACTGAAGAGAACTCGGCGCATTAGGAGGGCTGGTAGATGAAGCATTCGTTGTGGTAACAGGACCCTAGCTGAGTGTGTGTTTGCTGTGGGGCTGAGCATAGAGAGAGCAAGGGAGTGATCAAGGCACATAGGGATCAGCGGACAATCGAAGAGAAAGCTGCCTGTGTGGGAAGTATCAAATAGTTACGAGTGGTCGACCAGCTGAACTACCTGAAGCAGCGATACAACCCTACGAATAATAGACCTCTAAGAAGATTTGTAGCTGAACCAACACACAGAGAAAGCTTATACTAAACGTATGGAGATGGTGCTTAGGAAGTCAACGTGGTGTTAATAAGATCGAAGAGAGAGCTATCGAGAATGTGGTCGACTACGGGACAAATAGCAAACGCATGCCACAGAGATGCTTGAGGATGTTCATTACGAAATAAGACCGCTTCACATGACTGGCCATTGCTAGCAGTAAAAACACTGCTCTGAAGGTAATGTATTGTGATGCTGTCAGGCTAGATAGGTATAGGTCATTTCTGTCTTTTCCTCTATCTTAGAGCAAGAGTCTGGGCGGCGCACCTAGTGGGAGCGGACTCTTACCACTTGTTATTAAAGAGCTGCAATTGCATTATTACATCAGCAAGTAATATATGTACTTAAACTGGAAACGCAGCCTAGGTAGTACATCAAGTCTGAACAGAAAATGACGTTATGCAAACCAGGAAAAAATATGTATGGGACAACTGGAAGAAAAATAGTTGAATGAGTT